ACACTTGAAACTGTGTATGGAGTCAGCCTCCACCACATCACTTCCAAATGCATTCCATTTGTCAACCACTCTGACACTAAAAAAGTTCTTTCTAATATCTCTGTGGCTCATTTGGGCACTCAGTTTCCACCTGTGTCCCCTAGTACGTGTGCCCCTTGTGTTAAATAGACTGTCTTTATCTACCCTATCAATCCCCTTCAGAATCTTGAATGTGGTGATCATGTCCCCCCTAACTCTTCTGTCTTCCAGCGAAGTGAGGTTTAATTCCCGTAGTCTCTCCTCGTAGCTCATACCTCTCAGCTCGGGTACTAGTCTGGTGGCAAACCTTTGAACCTTTTCCAGTTTAGTCTATCCTTGACTAGATATGGACTCCATGCTGGGGCTGCATACTCCAGGATTGGCCTGACATATGTGGTATACAAAGTTCTGAATGATTCTTTACACAAGTTTCTGAATGCCGTTCGTATGTTGGCCAGCCTGGCATATGCCGCTGATGTTATCCGCTTGATATGTGCTGCAGGAGACAGGTCTGGCGTGATATCAACCCCCAAGTCTTTTTCCTTCTCTGACTCCTGAAGAATTTCCTCTCCCAGATGATACCTTGTATCTGGCCTCCTGCTCCCTACACCTATCTTCATTACATTACATTTGGTTGGGTTAAACTCTAAGTGGTGTACAATGAGTGTTAGGCCGGACGTTTCACTCGTTTATCTCTTGGTTGTTAAGGTTCATATTTTATGTTCGGCAAACGAGTCAACCCCTTGGTTTTGTAGAGAGATTTTTAGGCTTCAAATGTTGACTTGTATGCCGTCACATACAATACCTTTCCTAGTCTTCTGGTCGACCACTAGTCCAACTTTACATTTACCTGTAGTCAGTTTCAATAATTTGTGTACACAGTAAGCCTGGCCTAAGATAAGGCTTGTTTTATGATAACTTGTTTAGAATGGCTCATCAATCACTGCCTGCAAGAATCTGTTTAATTGCCTCTTGAAAACTTAGTTTATTGTTGTCAATATTTGTTATGGAAGGAGAAGTATATGTTAACTACTGCATTATGTCAAGTACTGCTGACTCAACTAATTAAAGATTCCAACATTACAAAAGATTCTTTTCTATTAAAATGATGGAAAGATGCATATACTGTACTGTATTAATTTTGTGTAAGCATGTGCTGCTCCTAGATGAGCTACAATGAGACCTCCAAGGACCGAGACACTTGTTACAGGTGAAGAAAGGCCGTTAACATACCGGTTGACTGGAAGCTTGCACGACAGCTTGGCTTCCAAAGTGGTGCTGAAGGTATTGTCATACAGTTAATGTTTAAATGTCATTTTTGTCTTTATATACAGGAGCAGAAGGCTGCCCCTGAATACGGTCAAGGTATAAACCCCATCTCCAGGCTTATCCAGATTCAACAGGCCAAGAAAGAAAAGGAACCTGTATACACACTTTTGGCAGAGAGAGGTGTGCCACGTAGAAGAGAATTTATCATGCAGGTACAGTTATAACATTCAAGTCATTGTTACTTATAAAAAAAAAATTGAGGAAAAATAAGGCATTTTCCTAACTGGATTTACCCACCAGCTTGTGTTGTGACCATGCTAGTGAACTGTTGCTGTGTCATATGTTACTGTGTTTCCTTTCCTAGTGTTGATTGTTACAGTGTCTAGTAAAGAGTGCTGTGGCCCCCCTCTGGTGTGCAGCGAGGGGCCCACACCACCACTTAACCACTGAACTGCTCTCCATTAAAATACGACACACCCGTGGCTGGGATGGGGCTGACGTGGGGGGGCTTCAGGCCCCGTTGGTCCCCGCCGGGGTTTTTCTACCCCTCTGGGCGGGGCTTGCAGTTTTGTGGGGTGGGGTTTTTCCTTTCCCCCTCTCCACACGAGTATTTGGGCGTTGGCCCCTCCCCGGGCTCGGTTCCTTGTCCATTATGCCCGTTGCTTCCTTTCTATCGGTGGGTGCTTTTCTACGTTCTTCACCCCTTTTTCCCGGGATGAGACTTCTCCGTCATGTCCCCTTCTTCTTGGGGTTCGGCATGACTTTTGGTGTCGGGTGCGACTGGGTTTTTCTGTGCCTTCGTCTTTTGTGTTTGCTTCTATGTGTTCTCGAAGGTTCGGGACGGTTTTGCTCCTTCCCGTTTTCCTGGTACATCTGTCGTCGTTCGGTGGGGCTTCCCTCCGGTCCTCTCTAGGGCTTGTGGGTCCTATTCCGGGCAGCTTCTGGATTTTTGGTCTTCTCGTTCATTTGATCCTCTCTCTTCTCTCTGCGCTGTCTCTCGGCACTGCTCGTTTTCCTTCCGTTCTGGTCCGGGATGCCGGATTGGGCTGCTTGTAGCCAGTTGGGCTGCTTGTAGCCGGTTGGGCTGCTTGTAGCCGGTTGGGCTGCTTGTAGCCATGTTGGGCTGCTTGTAGCCATGTTGGGCTGCTTGTAGCCATGTTGGGCTGCTTGTAGCCATGTTGGGCTGCTTGTAGCCATGTTGGGCTGCTTGTAGCCATGTTGGGCTGCTTGTAGCCATGTTGGGCTGCTTGTAGCCATGTTGGGCTGCTTGTAGCCATGTTGGGCTGCTTGTAGCCATGTTGGGCTGCTTGTAGCCATGTTGGGCTACTGGTGGCCCGCTTAGGTTCCATTTCGGTTCATCGTTTTCCTTACATGGGCTGGCTAGGTTGGCTTCTGTTTCCATGAGTTGGCCTGTTTCTTCGACTGATCGCTCGGGATACGACCCGTTGAGCTCTTTTTTTCTGCTCTGTTGTTGGACGGAGTAGGATGGACCTGTGTAGCCCAATGTAGCCCGGCGTGTTGGGCTACTTTTCTTTCGTGTCCTGCGCATGCACCGTGGGAGTTTGTTTTTGGTTCCAGGCGGTGTGCACACGTGCTGGTGTTCTGCATCCAATTTCTCTCGGAGGCTTCGCCTCTCAATCTTATCATTCTCCAGTCTGTGCCCCATTGCTTTTGGGGGTGTTCTGGAGTGCCGCTGTGGAGAGGTCACGAGGTTTCTCCCTGCGTTTTTGGGTGGGGGAAGCCTCCTTCGCCGCTCCCCTCCTCTTCTCCGGCCAGGTTTGATTTCCTGATTTCCTGGCTTGCCCTGCCTGATGGTTTTTCAGGGTCTTGCGATGTCCCTTCTCTGGTGTCTAACGTCGGACCCGTGGTTTTCGATCCCCTGGCGAGTTTGCTCGTCTTTGGGAGTTTTGCGTTTGGCAGACGCTCCATCTCCTTGCCGGCTTGGGCTTCCGGCTCTGCTTCCTTGGCGGTTGCAGCCCAGATCTTCCTGTGGCTCTGCTTCCTCCTAGGCTCGGATGAACCTTGGCAGTGCTGATTACGTTCTGCCTTGGGGTCTTGCGTTCGTTGGTGGTCAGGTGGCTTTGTTGTTGGTGTCCCACATGTGTGCTTCTTGGCGGCAGTATGGGGTGTTTTGGCGGTCCTTCCTTTTCCTTCTGTCCCTTCTTCGGTGGCTGCATTTGTTGGCGTCGGCTTGGTTTTTCTGCTGGGGGTTGGGGGCCGTCGTCTTGCCGCATACTGTCGCCTCGTTTTATGCGGTGCTGGCGGTGCCACTTCGACTCCCTTTCGGACTTTCATCTGCACCGTTCGTAAGCTGTCTTGTGCTTGTTTCACCTCCGGCCTGTTCTTGCGCCGCTTGGGCCGTCCTGGTCATTGGACAGAGTGCTCTTTTCTTTCTTCTCGTTTTCTTGTGGCCCCTTCAGTTCCGGTTTGTTTTCGATGACTCTTTTTCCGGTTGGCATTGGCCTCTGGGGGTCGGGTAGGTGAGCTGCAAGCTCTTCTCCGATGCAAGGGTTTTCTGCTCCTTCGATTGAGGTGATCGATTTGGTTGTCTGCTACCTTCTTCTTTTCTGGCTCAGGATGAGACTGCTGCTTTCCGGAGGGGTCCGTGGGTTTTTGCTGTTTGGTTGGTTGGGCCGGGGGTGCATTTGTTTTTGTCCGGTTGTGGCTCTCCAACGTTGTTGGCATGCCACAGCTTCTGGGTCCATGGACGCGATTTGGGTTGCTCTGGTTCCCTTCTTCCCGGTTAAAGGGTGCGGGTCTCCCAGGTCGTCCGCGGGGTTCTTCAGGCTCTCCAGCCTGCGGTCTATCTCCGTGCCCATGACGTCATGTCTTGGGCTGACATTCGGGCACGGGGTTTTTGGTGGTCGGACAGGGTCCTGGCTGCATGCTCCCTTGTGTACGTTGATGGGCCCGGTTGGGCTTGTGTGCTTTAGGTTGGCGGATGCAGCCTGTTATCTCGACTTTGAGTTGAGGAGTGGAGCACCGACCACCTCCCGGGTAGGTCCCCTTGTTTTATTAAGTAGTCTTTGGAGAAGTAGCTCTGGGTAGTTGTAGGGGCTTCCCCCAGAAAACCAGCGTTTTGATATCCAGCCTCAGAACTGGGGCGGGGATTGCCGGCTCAGGGGTCTGGGGCTCCCCCTTCCCCCTCCCGGGGAGGGGGGAGCTGCGCAGACATGTGGCGCGGCTCGTGTGACGTCATGCTTGTTTGTTCGTTTTTCTTGGGGAGTTCTGTCCACTCGTTTGTCGATTTTCGTTGTTAACCAGAATAGGGGTTTGTTTTGTGGCGTTTACCTTTCTGGGTGCCTGTCCCGGTCGATGGCAGATATAGAATGCTCCAAATCACATGTGCATTTCTATGGGCCATTGCTCCCCGTGCCTTTGTGAGGGGGCCAGGTTCTGGCCCGTGGTCCCCGGTAGGCCTAGAACTCCACCCACATAGACTGATGCAAAATAGTTAGGTATCCATAGCAGCCATGGATAGCTCCGGGGAGGCTCCGGGACTCACCCAGAAAATGGGGTTTCATTACATTCAACACTGGTTTTTTCCGTGTTTTGATATCCATCCTCAGAACTGGGGTCTTGGGTTGCCGATACGAGGGGTCTGGGGCTTCCCCTTCCCCCACCCGGGGAGGGGAGATCTGCGCAAACGGCTGTGCGGCCACATGGAGACGTCATGCTCATTAGCTCGTTAGCTCGTTTTTATTTTGGCAGTTCTGTCCACTAGTTCGGCTCTTAGTAGCAATTTCTTAACCAGAATAGGGGTTTGTTTTAGGACACTTACATCTCTGGGTGCCTGACCCAGTCGATGGCAGACATAGAATGTTTCCAACCACACAGGGGTTTCTATAGGCCATTGCTCCTCGTGCCTCTGTGAGGGGGGGGGGGGGGCAGGTTCTGGCTCGTGGTCCCTGGTAGGCCCACAGAACTCCATACAGATGACTGATGCCAAAGTCTGACATTAGCATATCAGCCTGGATAAACTCCAGGGAGCCTTTGCATCTCATCCAGAAATTGATGTTTCATTACATTCAACACTTTTTCTGGGGGGAGCCCCGTCGGCTCCCCGGAGCTATCCCAGGCTGATATGCTAATGTCAGACTTTGGCATCAGTCATGTGTATGGAGTTCTTAGGCCTACCGGGGACCACGGCCAGAACCGGGCCCCCTCAGAGAGGCAAGGGGAGCAATGGCCTATAGAAGCCCCCGTGTTAGTGGAAGCATTCTATGTCTGCCATCGACCGGAACAGGCACCCAGAAAGGTAAGCGCCCCAAAACAAACCCTATTCTGGTTAAAATTGCTACCTGAAACCGAACTAGTGGATAGAACTCCCCAACCGAAAACAAGCAAACTAGTGTGACGTCACACACTGCCGCGCCGCTGTCTGCGCAGCTCCCCCCTCCCTGGGAGGGGGAAGGGGGAGCCCCAGACCCCCCGCGCCGGCTACCCACACCTCAGTTCTTGAGGCTGATGCTATAGGCGATGGTCGTGTGCTCTGGCTCCGGTGTCGCTACTGCACTGTGCTTTGCGTGTGGTGTTAGTTTTGTGGGTGCGAGAGCCAGGAGTTATCTTCAGTACTCGGGCTGCATGCGCCTAGGGCTGCCTTCCCTAGGTGCCCTGTAAGTACTGCCCTTGGGGCTTGGGGCCACCTTCCACAGGCTCCTCGGGGTCTGCCTCTGCTGGTCCGTTTTACCTTTCGGTTTTTCGGCCGCCTGTTGGGCTCTTGGGTGTTCTGTTCTCCCTTGTTACCGGCAGGTAAGAGGCAGTTTGCACTGGTAGGGGCGCAGGGTGCTGCTCAGCTTGTATTTCCCGACATCGCGGCCGGCTCTGTTCCTTGGGGTTCGCTGTCCTCTTGCGGGGTTTTGTTTTTCTTTTTGTTTTTGCCTGGTGGGGGGTTCTGTCATTTTATTCAGTTTGTTTTTGCCCTTCCACTGTTCTCATCGGTGGCGCCCCCTGCTAGGTCCCCGTGAGTGTACACGTACCTGGGGTTCAGCTTTAGAAGTTTGCTTGGTAGTTTTGGGCGCCGGTTTGCAGCACCCTGCCTGGGACTACCTGAGCGCGAGTCCTCTTAAAGTAAACGCTCAGGACCCTGGGAATCCCCTAGGGGGCGCGTGGGTCCGATGGATGTGACCCCGGAGTCCCCACTCGCTGTGTGCGAGTTTGAGGGTTGCTCGGTCCCCTTGTCTCAGGGTGACCCTCATTGTTTTTGCCTCTG